GAAAACGTTAAGGGTTGATTTTGAAAACGTTAAGGGTTGATTTTGGAAAACGTTAAGGGTTGATTTTGATAAGAAAACGTTAAGGGTTGATTTTTGATAGAAAACGTTAAGGGTTGATTTTGAAAACGTTAAGGGTTGATTTTGATAAGAAAAAGTTAAGGGTTGATTTTGATAAGAAAACGTTAAGGGGTTGATTTTGATAAGAAAACGTTAAGGGTTGATTTTGATACGTTAAGGTTGATTTTGAAACGTTAAGGGTTGATTTTGATAAGAAAACGTTAAGGGTTGATTTTGATAAGAAAACGTTAAGGGGTTGATTTTGATAAGAAAACGTTAAGGTTGATTTTGATTTAAGGGTTGACGTTTAAGGGTTGATTTTGATGAAGAAAACGTTAAGGGTTGATTTTGATAAGAAAACGTTAAGGGGTTGATTTTGATAAGAAAACGTTAAGGGTTGATTTTGATAAGAAAACGTTAAGGGTTGATTTTGATAAGAAAACGTTAAGGGTTGATTTTTGATGAAGAAACGTTAAGGGTTGATTTTGATAAGAAAACGTTAAGGTTGATTTTGATAAGAAAACGTTAAGGGTTGATTTTGATTTAATTGATTTTGATTTTGATTTGATTAAATTTTGATAAGAAAACGTTAAGCGTTAAGGGGTTTATTTTGATAAGAAAACGTTAAGGGTTGATTTTGATGAAGAAACGGTTGATTTTGATGAAGAAAACGTTAATAAGAAACTAAATGGAAAAAAAAAAGTCGGAGCTACAGAATCGTAATCATAGAAACAACATTAAGCAGAAGCAAGACAACCAAAATCAGCGCGAAGTCCTGAACAAGCCATGAAGCGAAGGAATCTTCTCGTGACAGAGGAATTGACACAATGACCTGATGGAGAAGTGCATTTGTGATAGATAAGTGGCATTGATAAATAAGATAAATAAGTGGCATTTGTTTCGTATTACAAGCCAGCACATATCAACGCTAAATGTTCAACTGGCCGGTCGAAATGTCAAGTGGAAATAAGGAACGAAGGAAAAAATATGCAGGAAAGTATAGCCAAATGTACAAGAAGATTACGGATAACGAGTATCTTTTCTCGTTATGAAGTGTGGACGGACGGAGGGAGAAAATGGGCGGAGCAAATACCCATTTCTTGGTATACAGGGGGTGCTCGGTTTACGACGGTCTAGACTTACGACGTTTCATGGACACGATGCTCGAAATTATGTACAGTATTTACAGTTTGTCTTCCATGTGTTCTTTTAGCCCTAGTTATGCTTTTATGTACATAGAAGTGTCTTGTTATGTTTTAGATTATGACTTTAATACATGTATATATACTGCATATGTGAGCGACCTCGGTGCTTATACACATATGTACATGTACTGTATTGAGGTGTGTTCCGAATACGTAATGTCATAGTGGTCAAAGACGCCATAACCAAGCGTCAGCCACCGCCGTCAGCAATGAAGATCATTAACCTGACAGAAGCGGATTAACAGAGAGTGAACATATTCGTTTTTTTTTCAGCACGTCGTCAGGAACTCTCATGGGCACAAATAACCATGAAGGCTTTAGATACTGGTGGCTTAAACTTGTCTTCTCTTCAACAGGAAGAGAAGACAACAGCCGTGCCAAAGACTGAGTACATTCGTTTTGTTTGTTTGTTTGTTTTGTTGTTTTTTATCCTTATTGAAAATCATCAGGAATTCTCATGACCACAAATAACCATGGAGGTTTTAGTTACTAGTGGGTTGAAACATGACCAAAGGGAAGAGCAATTGACAGCTACGTCGAGGGCGAGATCGGAAACCCCTTAAGCCACTCGAAACCTCTGGAGGGCGGGTTGCTATCGGGACTGAACCGGCCCGCCCCGTTATTGCAAATTAAAATGCAGAAGACATACCTCGACTTAACTTCTCTTGATTTATTGATGTATTTGTTTTTTTCTTTATCTTTCTTTCTTTTTCTGTCTTTCATTCTGTGTTTCTTTATCTCTCTCTTAATTTATATACATTTCTTTTTTCTTTCTTTCTTTCTTTATCTATTCTTCTTAAGATAGATTTGCTCAGCTTTCCAACTACGAAAGTCGACTGAACATCTGACTCACTGAGAATTTGCAGATTTAGTGTTGCAAATTTTCTGTTGATCCTCTTCAGATTGATTGCTTGCAAATGCTTCGACTTTGCTTGAGAAGAGTAGGTTGCAAATTTTCCATTCCTGTTGGTTGACATGAAATAATGGAAATATTGCGAAAAGGTACAGTATATGAGGTGAGAGTTGTGTAACTTGGTGTTAAAAATAAAGGCTGAAATTAGGTAGGTAAAATTATGAAGACATTTAAGAAAAAATAGATAGAAATTGATTATATAAATTGATGGCATTAAGGGCATAAGTTGCAGGCATTCAATTTGAAATTAATTAAGTATATAAGCTGAAGACATTTACGTACGTATACCAAATCAAGACATATAAGAATGCAAGTTAAAATAAATCAAAGTTACACGTATATAATTATACAAAGAAAATGACGATAACTAAAAAAGAAAGCGTTAACGATAGAAAAGAAAACGCAGCGCCATAGGAAGAGAGACAGAAGGATGTTTGAGACACGAAAGAGGAAGCGAGAGAAGAGAGGCAAGGAGAATGGAGACTCGAGACAAAGATAACCGATAACAGATTAGAATCACCAAGTCAATCTGGATTTCGCCGGATTAGAGGCTTATCCAACATCCACGATCCAGCCTCCACTACAAGGCCACTAATAGAATGTAGAGAATCCAATAAAGAGAATGTAATAAAAAAAATACAATTAAGAAGGAAGAGGATGCGATAAAGAGAATGTAATAAAAAAAATACAATTAAGAAGGAAACGATAAAGTGAAATAAAAATACAATTAAGAAGGAAAATAAAGTGATTATATATATATTTTTAAATACTATTAAGAAGGAAGAGAGTGCGATAAAGTGAATATAAAAAGCAATTAAAAGGAAGAGAGTCCAATAAATGAATGTTAAAAAATACAATTAAGGAGAGAATGCGATAAATGAGTATAATAAAAAAAAATACAATTAAGAATAGAGAGAATGCAATAAGGTGAATGTAATCTTTAAAAAAACAATTAAGAAGGAAGGGAGTGTGACAAAGTGAGTGAAGAAGGGAGTGAATACGAAGAAGAACGAAATGGAATCAATACAGAAGAGAATAAAATAATGTGAGTGAAGTATAAAAAAAAGAAAATCCAATTACGAAGTAAAGGAAATGCAAATAAATAAATGTAATAAAATACAAGAAAATGTAATCAAGAAGAGGGTGATTGTAATTAAGAGGAAAGTAAATGCAATCAAAAAATAAATATAATACATTTATTACAAGCAAAAGCAACAAATTCAAACAAAAAGTCGTGAACGCAAGCAAAAGGAGAGTGGATATGATAAAGAAGGAAGTGGATGAAATCAAGAGAGAAGGAATGCAATAAAATAAATAAAACGAAAACAAAAGAAAACAAAAAATAAAGAAGTGAATGGAGGGAAGTGAAGGTCGTCGAGAGGGACAGAAAATGGCAGCATTTACTTACCTTTTGGATTCAGTAGAAATGTTATTAATTTGTGAGAAGTGCGCGTTCCTCTTTCTTTTTTCTTTACTTTTTTGTTTGTTTGTTTGTTTGTTTCTGTCTTTTTTTTCTTTTTTTTTCTTTCTTTCTTTCTGTCTTTCTTTTTGGACATTTTTTTTTATAAGATAACTTACATTCATAACATGGCAGCAGCAGTAGCAGTGATATTATTGGTAGTTGTAGTAGTAGTTGTTGTTGTAGTAGTCGTAGTAGTAATGGTTGTTATAGTAGTGATAATAGTAAAAGTAATGATGCTAATACTGCTTGTTATAACAAAAGTCACAGTACTCCTAGGAACCACAACTGTACTGGAGGATACTGCGAGCTACAACAACGACAGTAACAATAACAACAAAAAACATCGGTGCTAACAATGAAAATGATAACAATAGTAGCAATGATGAAGGTAATGACAGTGCTGATAATCCCCACAGCAGTAACACTAATAAGCAATAATAAACACCATGATAATACCACTAATAAAAAGTTTCTATCACAAAGCCTCAAGAAATAAGACTCTGATACCATCATTATTAAGAGCACGATTTACGTATACTTGCATAACTCCATAATACCTGTTTAAACGATATATAGTTAACCTTTATGCAGCCAGATTTCGAAAGACCATTCATAAATACAAACCCAAAAACCTTTCATGTTTTAAGGATATATATCTATTATTATACTTACATAACTCCATAAACACATGTTTGAACGAGGATATATATTCAACCATTATGTAGCCAGATTTCGAAAGCCCATGTGTAAATACAAACCCAAAAACTGTTTTAAGGATATATATTTATTATTATACTTACATAACTCGATACACAACTGTTTGAACGTGGATATACACTTAGCCATTATACAGCCAGATTTCGAAAAAAAAAACGTTTATAAATACAAACCCAAAAACTGTTTTAAGGATATATATTTATTATTATACTTACATAACTCGATAACAACTGTTTGAACGAGGATATATTTAACCATTATACAGCCAGATTTCGAAAGTTTATAAATACAAACCCAAAAACTTTTCCTGTTTTACGGATATATATTTATTATTATACTTACATAACTCGATACACAACTGTTTGAACGAGGATATATATTCAACCATTATGTAGCCAGATTTCGAAAGCCCATGTGTAAATACAAACCCAAAAACTGTTTTAAGGATATATATTTATTATTATACTTACATAACTCGATACACAACTGTTTGAACGAGGATATACACTTAGCCATTATACAGCCAGATTTCGAAGAAAAAAAAACGTTCATAAATACAAACTCAAAAACCTTTCCTGTTTTACGGATATATATTTATTATTATACTTACATAACCATAATACCTGTTTGAACGATATATATTTAA